GGTCTTATAATGGACTTGTAGATCTGTCCCTTAAGCTTAATTTCATCGAGATTCGTTTATCTGTATACTAAATCTAACAAACATCCATCCATTTATACAAACTTTGATATTTATATCAGTAAGATTAGCTAATGTTATGGCGCTAAATGACAAAAAAACGACATGTGTGTGAAAGCTGAAGATACAGAATCTTATTAGATTCAGTAATTATCATTATTATATTAAATTGATTTCTAATTAACTTGTATCAGTTTCACATGTGACTAGAAGGTCCTCGCGCGGGTCACAAGATTTACCGTCGCGTTCGCAATTAGCCTCCGACCCCAGAACATGTAATCGCCGCTCAGGCCGGACCCTGCGAGGGGATGTTTTGTTTTCCCTCCCCCGAGTGCCACTTAATTACAACAACTTATATCTTCATTTAAATGACACAGCTCGTGTGTAGAAAACGTTTAAATTCTTTATCCAAATTGGTAATACATTTAGAACTAACAATGTCTACTGTACTACTGCAATAAACTTAGTACTAAGTTATCTAAGTAAGATGAATGTAATTCTTAAATGAATTCGTATAAATTTGATGGCGTACAATTTAAATTTTTTAACAAGCTGTCATTGAAGCGAGGATTCGCGGAGACTCGCGGAGGAGGAGGACAGGTGCTTGGTGAGAGGGGCAGGGAGGGGAAGGGAGGGGGGTAGGAAAGTAATCAACAATTTAAAATTGGGGCTAATCCGACGCTCGGCGTAATCGCGGCGATCAGTCATCAAGTCGCACCGCGCGCGGTGACCACAATCGTTACATCAAGAACAAGGACCAATGAACTATTATGTCAAAAAAGGCAATTTTCTGACAAATGTAAAGCTTTCTTTCTTTCTTATAGACAAAAAGCACATCCATTTACTTGTCCTAAAAATATTGTCAACTTTCCGTTAGTCGAAAAGTTTAAGTTTTTTTTACTCCATTAAAACGTGATTAAATCAGATCATGCTTACGCAACATAATCGAACAAGTCTTGTTAGGTCAAAAATGGATGACTTAACAGCAATCACACTCAAACAAATGGTTTCTACAATTTTAATCATTAAATCAAAATATGTGAGCACAAATTACATGACAAATGTGTAATAATGGTCACCCTAGTTGTCACAAGTGGGAGGGATTCACACGAGGTGGAAAATTTTGATAACATAAAATGAGCCATCCGTTTACAGCGCCCCTGTTAACAAGGATTTGACACCGACATAAAGTGAGGCGAAAAAATGCACAGATCTTTGATGTAAGATTCTTGTTTTAAACACAAATGCGACTCGATTATTTTATCTAGCGTATTACTAAAATATTTTATTGTAGATTGATCTATCTGCTGTTTACAAAGATCACTGACTTATCGTCATGAATATCTTTCTTAACAATACACTTACAACCTTTGACCTAGAATTAAAACCGTTAACCAATAATGCATACTTCCCCCTCTTCCCCCATGCATACTTCCCTCTTCTTCCTCTTCCCCCTCTCACCGCGAAGAGAGTAGATGTGTTATACGACGCTCCG